GTCCTGCTTGGTCAGACAATGGCTAAATTTCTACAACGGCCCTTCATGAACCCGTTGAGCCTGAGAACTGCGGCCTCCACAGCACTGAGGGAAGGTTGGAGGGCGGTGGGTAGCGGCTAGGAGTGGAGAAAGTCCCTCTAGCGCCCCGGGGGCCCCCTCGGGTGAGCCTGGCCCCTAGGGGGCAGGGAGTGTGATTTCTGCGACCTGCGGCCCTGAGGAGACCGGGCTGCGCCTGCAGGCTCACTAGGCCAACCTCGGGCTAGCCTGGCTAGCTGTTTGCCTCTCAGCGGGGCGGGCCGCAGGCCCACTCGGGGAGGCAGAGCAGCCTCGGACACCTCACCGGAAGCTCTGGACACCCTTCTTCCACACCGTGTGCACTGGATGTCGGCAGCACCCCAGGACCGCCTCTTCTTCACAGTTTGCCGGGAGGGCGACAGGGCGAAAGTAGCCCTCGAAGCCTCTGCCGCCATCGCTGCCTCCTTCGGGTGCGAGGACCCGCGCGCGGGCCACTCCCGGCAGCCCGTGGCCGCCGCAACCAATCGTTGAAGGCAGGTGGTGTTTTTTAGCCAATCAGCAGTTCAGGAGGCTAAAGCCCGCCCCTGAGCTGACCTTGGGGCCTGGAGCTGTTTGCTGTTTTACTCCAAGGGGCACCTGTGGTGGAGAAAGACCGTTATTTTTCAACTCTTTATCCATAGCATCCCCTTCTAATGAACTCAAATTCAGATTTCACATAGTATTACTTCCATTGGGGGTGGGTGTTTTTTAGCCAATCAGCAGTTCAGGAGGCTAAAGCCCGCCCCTGAGCTGACCTTGGGGCCTGGAGCTGTTTGCTGTTTTACTCCAAGGGGCACCTGTGGTGGAGAAAGACCGTTATTTTTCAACTCTTTATCCATAGCATCCCCTTCTAATGAACTCAAATTCAGATTTCACATAGTATTACTTCCATTGGGGGTGACGTCACAAGCAGCAAACAATCCTTTACATGGAAGAATCCTCCCCTATTATTAAATCAGGGCCAGACACCCTAAACTACTGTGTGCTGGGGATGTGGTGGTCTTGGCTAACCGTCGCTGGAGTGGTCAGTGGCAACCGTTAGGGGAAGAGTCAGTAATTTCCAATATAAGGGCTGATGATTACTAACTTTAATTGAGCCTAATGATATATAAGGCACTTATGCTGGGAGCAGTCAGGATGCTAAAAATGTATAAGCTAATAGGTTTCTGCTTGAGAGGTATGGAGCGCTCTACTTAAAAAAATGGTACCTTCCACTAAGGCATCTTATGTTAATTGCCAGACGAGTGTTAGAGATAAGAATCACTGTGTTAGGCAGAGGTAAAGTCATTCTGGTCTATAGTGGTACAAAATGCTTCCCCAGAGGATATAGAGTTTGTACTAGACTATAAATCCTAGGTGGTAACCACAGAACTAAAACAGAACAGGAGGCTTTTCAGAGAGAAAGAACACATAGATGGGACTAGCAGTTAGCGTAATGGCTATGTCGCTGGACTCCCATGTAGTCGACTGCGGTTCGCGTCCTGAACCGGTGGCTTAAACTCACGCCGGGCGAGTGTGCGTGCGTCCCCAAGATCCTGAGAGGAGAATGGAGGAGAAGGGATGGTGGTGTGACCTTTCCCCCCTGGGGGGTGATTTCCCGCTTTCTATCTCTATGTCTCTGTCTTTCTGGTGAGCGCTAACAAAAAACCTCAAAAAAAAAAAAAAAAAAAAAAAAAAGAAAAAAGAACACATAGACAAGAGAACATAGTTCGAAGATACAGTGGCCTCTTCAGAATTTAATTTATAAGTTATTTAGCCAGAGCATTACCTCTTTTTTGGAGAGCTATGTTAGGGAAGAATTTTAGAGTGTCTTGAATGTTGGGCTAAGGAGTTTAGACTTCATCTTTAAGAAGTTGCATGCCAGAGAAGTGCTATGAGCAAAGAATGGAAGACTCTGGTAGCAGTGTGGCAGGTGTATCTCAGAAGAAGCACTGACAGGTAGTAAGGATGGCTTCACCTGCAAAGAGTAAAAGATTGCATATATTCCTCAATTTCTGTTTTCCTCTCTACATTTGTGTGTGTGAAATAGAAACGAAAGTATTCTGTTCGAAGGATCACTCTTGCTCAAAAATCTTTATACTTTGTTAGGTTCAGGAAAAAGTACTGATCCCTCAACTTACCCTATTCTGCCTTCCAATAGTTTTACTACTAATTTATAAGAAATTCAGGGTACTAATTAAGCCAAGATTCTTGTCAAGCTTCTTGATTCCTCTGTAATTTTATGAGTACTATTCTCCTCATCTGGGATGCCCTGCCCTTCCTCATCATCAATTCATGTTCTCCTTATCCTTGGTGGGTCAGCTTTAGAACCACTTCCCATTTCTCTCCATCCTCAATACTACCCTGTTGCATGTAGCAACAGTCTCCTTTTCCACTAGGATATCTATACTATAAATAATGACGATTTCTCTGTATAGGGATTCATCCTGGCTCATGATATGAATAATGTGGTATAGTATAGGGGAGTCGTCTCTGAATATCACCAGGCATGCTGGAGAAAGTTATGCCCCGAAGGTGAATAAATATTGGCTAAATCAGAGAGAGTGAGAAATGTAATGATATATATTAGAAACTATTGGGTTGTTGGAAAAGCCATAACATATTTTTTTCTATGCAAAATTGCATTGACTTTTCTGACAACTCAAAATATGTTAGGTATTTAGGCGTTTACCAAGAACCTTCAAATAGAACTGTCAGAATTATCTTTTATATCTTTTTTTTTTGGGGGGGGGAGGTTTTCGCTATAGGGTGCATGCACTTGCCAGACAGACAGAGAGAGACACAGAGACAGAAAGAGAGAAATCACCCCCCCAGGGGGGATGGTCATGCCGCAATCCCTTCTCCTCCATTCTCCTCTCGGGATCTTGGGCACACATTGCACACGCGCCCAGTGTGAGTTTTAAGCCACCGGGTCTGGGACGCAAACTGTGGTCGACTATGTGGGAGTCCAGCGACATAGCCATTACACTAACTGCTGGTTCCCTATATCTGTTCTTTTTTCCAAGTTTATTAATTTCTTCTGAGAGAGAGAGAGATACAGGCACTCCCCAACAGAGTCCTCACAGCATGACTTTGGGAGACGTTGGTACAGGAACCTGAGACTTTCCCATATGGTTTCAGCATCACAGAGAGTCATGTTCCCTCTGGTCTACCAAATCTGGCCAGGATTGTCTTCTTAATTTAATTTAGGTCGTTTCTGTTGTTTGTTTTGAATATTTTAACAACTTCTCATTGACTGCCACAAATCCTTAAATGAACTTTTGAGGTCCTTATGACTTGACCTCCACTTACCACTCTAGCCTCATTTTGTACTTCTCACTATGTTCCAGATACTGTGGCCCCTTTCAGCTCTGTAAGTATGTCAAACTTTTTCTAGCCTCAAGACCTTCTGCCTGGAACTCTTTCCCCTGTATTATTAAGAAAAATTACTGTAAAATATTTTAGTCCTATAAAAATGAATAAAGATTAAGAGTATAAATGCCCATGCACCCTCTAACCAGAATAATTTAAAAATAATTTAGTTTCAGTCAGATAATCTAGTTTTAATATATCTATTTGAATTTACTCACATATTTGCCAATTCTTTATTTCTTACATTTCATACCTTCCTACTAGGATCATTTCCCCCCTCCCCTCCATGACATCCTGAAGAAGTACCTTTAGTGAGGGAATGTTATTGATGAATGCTGTCAGTTTTCATTTGGATAAAAAATTGTTTTGGGACCAGCATTGGTGGGGTGGTTAAAGCTCTGGATACCTACATGGCCAACTGTGGTTTGAGTCTCAGATTCAAAATCATGCCAGGCATGTGAATGTATGTGCATGCCCAAAATCCTAGGAAGGGAATGGATGAAAAGCCTGGGGAGGATGATTTCTCACTTTCTGCTCTCTGTCTTTGGCACATGCCTTATGGAAAAAACATAAAATCAAAAAAAAAATTAAGTACTTTTTAACTTATCCTCATTTTTAAATAATTATTTAGTAACATAAACTTCTATGTTGACAGTTGTCTTTTTCTCAGAATTTGGAGATACCATTATATTGATTTCTTTTTCTTAGAGGTTTTTGCTTTATGGTATATGCATTCACTGGAGATAGAGAAACAGAGATAGTGACAGGGAAAGTGAGAAATCGTCCCCCAGGAGGGATGACCACACTGTAATCCCTTTTCCTTCATTGTCCCCGGGATCTTGGGCACGCAAGCACGCACATGCGCCCAGAGTGATTTTCAAGCCAGTGGATCTGGGATTGAAACTCCAGTTGACTATGTGGGAATCCAGTGAGATAACCACTATACCATCTGCCGGTCCCAACATTATATTGATTTTTTTTTTAAGAGAGTTTTTTTGCTATAGGGCATGTGCACTTACCAGAGAGACAGAGATAGAAAGAGAGAAATCATACCCCATGGGGGATGGCCATCCCACAAACCCTTCTCCTTCATTTCCCTCTTGGGATTTTGGACATGCATGCACAGGAACCCGGCATGAATTTAAGCCAGCGGGTCTGGGACTCAAACTGCGGTTGACTACATGAGAGTCCAGCGACGTAAACATTATACCATTTGCTCTTCCCACATTATATTGATTTCTAACTTCTATCGTTTTTATTAGGAAATTTGTTGCCAGTCTAATTGTCATTTCTTAGATAAGTTGTTGTTTTTGTTTGGCAGTCTGTAGATTCCCTAAAATATCAAATGCTGATTATTTACCCACCTCAGTTGGAATTGATTGTAATTTCTGAATCTGAACATTTTGTTTTATTAGTACAGAAAATGTTTAGCCATTTATTTCTGAATATTACCTTTTTCTTCAAGAACTCTTCATATTCTATCCTTTATTTCTCTTAATCTCTTTTTCATATTCTCCATTCTTTTCCTATGCATTCTGGGTAATATTTCAGCTATATATCCTCATTAATTTATTCTCTCTTAACTGGATCTAATCTGCCCTTTAGCACATGCATTGAGTTTTAAAATTTCAAAGACTAGAGTTTCTTTTTTTTTTTTTTATTTCCAAATTTGCCTGATCTTTTTTTGGGTAGCAATATGTTCCTTTCTCATGATTGTGATTTCATCTTTTTAAAAATGCTCGCATTATTATAATTATTAATTGACACAAAATTGTACATATTTGTGGGGTGAAATGTAGTTTTGTTCTTAATGAAACAGACTTGTTTTGTTTACCAGAGAGCACATGTGCTTACCAGAGAGAGTTAGAGAGATGGAGAGAGGGAGAGAAGAAAGCATCCCCCCGCCCCCCATGCAAAGGACATGGTCATACCACAGTCCTTCTCCTCAATGGCTTATTCCTGAAATTTTTCCTGTTGCAAGCCAAGGATGCTTACCTCTGGGGTAGAGATTCTCACAGGTTGAGTCCCCCTGGCAACATCATGATCAAATCAAGGTAACTAGTTAATCATTTATCTCAAATATTTACATTACTTTGTGTT